ACAGCATTTACAAGACGCAGGGGGGGAGGAGGGGGGGGACATGCATACAATCCTGTCGTCAGGGGGGTGAGGTGTCGAGTCAGCCCAGCACGCCGTGTGTGTGTGTGTGTGTGTGTGAGAGAGACAGGCAGGACGGTAGGTGCAATGAGAGGGGAGGCGTGGGGGAGACAAAAGGGGGGCCTGGGGAAACACAAATTAAAAGCCTTAAATGTCACCGCACACAGTATTGCTTTGCGACACAGGTCATTACTCGCCATATTATTCTCAGCCTTTTACAACATTAATAACCTGGAAAATATTACAGCCGATTGTTCACAAGTCTCCCTGAAAAAGAAATATGGAGGAGGGGTCCCTGAGCAGGCACGCAGACATCACGACTAATCGAAGGTGATTTAAAGCGTCTGTGGGCTCGCCATCTCGCCATCGTGCAGAGAGGCGGAGACACCCGAGATATGTAACACCTGAACCTGCACGAGTCTGACTCAAAGGAAAGATAGGTAAACATCCACCTGTACACACATAACTCTCTGCAGGGTGTGTTTGTTTCATCAAACCCTCACAGAGGAGGGGGGCGGGGCACAAGGATGTAAGGAGGCACGCCATGACAGACGGGAAGAAGACGGATCAAGATATCGAGAAGGAAGCACTGATTTGGTGATTTTCAGGTCTGAGGAAATCGAGGTTAAACGTGGAAACATGACTGTAGTGACTTCCTTTAAGGACTCACAGATGCAGCAGAGGCTCATGGGTAATGTAGTTCTACACTTTAGAAAGGATGACTCCACAGTGGACTCATCTTTCAGCTGTAAATCACCAATCAGTGCTCGCAGGGTGACGCAGGGTGACACAGGGTGCACGTATGACCAAGGCGCTCCGTCCTGCAGTGGGCGGGGTCAGAGTGGGTGGGGTCCACCTGTCCGTCACAGGTCCACCACTGCAGTTGTTTTTTTTTTACCTTCTGAGTTGTGCAGACTGTTGATGTAAATGCTGCGAAGACTACCAACACGATTTAGTTTCCACGCTCTACGTTTGGCTGCGTCCCCCGACGGCAGGAAGAGAGGAGAAGAAGAAGAGAAGAAGAAGAAGGAGGGGTAGAGGAAGAGCAGAGCGGAGGAATCAGACAACATTAAAAAGAGAAATCAGAGAAAACATGGTGGAGAGAGTCAGGCGTAACACAGCAGAGTTCAGGTAGCTCAGTGAGGGGGCGTGGCTTTGCACAGAAGTGGGAGGGGCCAATGACCACAATGAAGGGATGAAGTTTGCAACATAACATGAGAGACCAGAAAAGCATGAAAAGCTGCTTCAATGATGTTTGCACCAAAACAGAAACTTGTGACTTTTCATCACAGATCGCTGACTGACACCAACAACAAATTACAAACAGAAAGAATGATCCTCAAACTGACTTTATAAAGACGTGATTTCTCGTCCCCACTCGGCATCTTATCTCTGCTCTCTGACCTCGCTCCTCTTAAACCCTGCGTGGGTAATATTTACTGCCCCGGGGCTACTGAGCGCATTTTACACCAAAGCAGGGCGTGCAGACGATGAAGTACAGTCTGCTCTTTAAATGTTACTCTGCTTGTTTCCCTCTGTGCCCCTCCTCCTCCTCCTCGTCCTCGCAGACGGCGAGGCGCGGGATAAGCGAGGGTTTTATATCGTCTTAAATGAAACACAAACAGTAAAGCTGCTCTCAGCTGTGGAGGCGAAATAAAAACACATCATCATTTAAAAACGAATCAGAGTCGCTTTAAAAAGGTCACCGCTCTGAGCCCAGAGAGAGAGAGGGGGGAGAGAGGGGGGGAGACAGAGAGAGAGAGGGAGACAGAGAGAGAGAAATAGAGCGAGAGAGGGAGAGGAGGAGACTGAGAGAAAGGGAGAGAGAGAGAGGATAAAAAGTACCCGACCTAAAAAGCCTCTGCATGTTTCTAATAAGCTCGACGAGCAGAAACGTGCTCAAACTAGGATCAATATTTAAAATAATAAAAGCATTCCAAACATTCCTGACTCCAATGTGTCCTTGCTCAGGTGTCTGAGAGACCACCTGGACTCTCCTCAACACTGACCATCTTTGTTTTTCCAGCTGTTTGACCCCCCGCTAACCTGCAGGGAGCGTCCGCCTGATTAAAAGACGCGATGCAGGTGAACACACCTGCTGATCAACACACACACACACACACACACACACACACACACACACACACACACACACACACACACACACACACACCACACACACACACACCACACACACACACACACACACACACACACACACACACACACACACACACACACACACACACACACACACACACACACACACACACACACACACACACACACACAGTCCACCTTTGTGAGGAGTTCACTGGTCGACGTATCAAAGCACAACAACAAAAACTCTCTAACAGGAATGTGATCCTGCTGCTACCCATGTGTGGCCACTTCAAACATCTGACGCTCGACGTGTGTGTGTGTGTGTGTTTGTGTGTGTGTGTGTTTGTGTGTGTGTGTAGGTATTTTTCAGGTCAACTTTAAAGCCTTTGAATGAACAGAGGGTTCAAACCGAGCGAGTTAACGAGAACCGATGTCGAGGCTGTGATCAGCAGGGTTCAGCTCACACAGGTGAGTGTGTGTGTGTGTGTGTGTGTGTGTGTGTGTGTGTGTGTGTGTGTGTAGTGTCGCAGCAACCTTCACCAACAATCATGGCTGAAGAGAACAGAAACCTGCACCGAGGATCCAGTGAATCTCTGGGTTAGAGAGAGACGAGACCAGGACTACAAAGAGACGACAGATCCTCCAGAGACCAGAATCATCAAAGACCAGACTCTGATCATTGCTCTGCAGGACGGCTTCAGAATCAAGAAGAACGATCCACATAATGTCACGTCATGTTGACATTTAAATGGTCACATTTTTCACCGTGGACGAGAGCGAGTGAGTAAAAGACGGCGATCATCTTCCAGAGAATGTGTGTGTGTGAGCTCCTACCTGGGGGAGCTCGGCCTCAGAGGGCGGTTCCCCCTCATGAATTACCCCGAGCCTGCCGCTGACACGGAGATACTTCACCTGCCCGCCCGGCGTGACAGGCGGCGAGCCGACTGAGCGCGCTCAGTGCTTAATGGCTAAATTGGGAAGACTGTTACTAATCGCTTATTGAATAATGAAAGTGACACAGCTGATAAAAGATTTCAATAGGGTGGATTATTTATAATATTTCACTTAAGACTCTCCGGCTGAGTAATAGGAGGGCGAGTCTGAGCCGACCACCAGTCACATAAGAAAATGTTCAGAGGAGGAGGAGGGACGACTGAAGCAGGCGGACAAAATATCTGAGATTAGAGGAGAGACGGAGGAAGGAGAAAGGAGAGGGAAACAAGGAAACAAGGAGACGAGAACAGAGGAGAGAAATATAGGCAGTAGTAAAAAAAGAGGAGGGAGGAGAGGAAAGATAATGCGAGGAGGATGGAAAAAAATATAAAAAAAGAGAAGGAAGGGGAAGTAAGAGAAGGAGGAAGGAAATGAGGGAGGAAAGGAGGAAGGAAAGGAGCGTTTGGACGAGGAAAAAGAAAATTGACAGGAGAAGGAAGGACAAACAAGATGAGTCTAGAAAAACAGAAAAAAGAAACAAAAAAAGAGAGATAGGAAGAGGGGGAGTACTGAAAGAAGGACAAGGAGACAAGGAAAGGAGACGAGGTAGTAGCAGAGGTGGGAAGAACTATAAAGATGAGAAAAAAAAAAAAAAACAATCCAGGGAATAATCCGAGGACAGAAAGTAAGAGGATGGAAAGACAGACAAAAACAAAAAGATTAAATTAAGTTATACGGAGAGAAAAATAGGAAAGGAAACAAAGGAAAGGAAAGGAGAGGAGGAGATGAAAGGAGAAGGAGGAGAGATGAAACAGTGTGAGAGTCTATCCGTCACTTTCTCTGTCAGCTGCTTGAGACGTCCGTGATGGAGAGACCAACATTACACATCTGCTGCGGCCGCTACAGCTGTTCAACCAGCCGTACTGTGTGTGTGTGTGTGTGTGTGTGTGTGTGTGTGTGTCTGTATCAAGTGTGTGTTTCAACCACTGTGTACACTCTGTATTCACTAAGCAGCAACCTTGTTCCTCGAGTGACCACTAGAGTCTGTCTCCTGCAGTGAGTCAGTCCCCCATAGAGCGCCATGTTAAAAAGCTCATGCTAATTGCTGACATTTCCCTTCATGACATCACAAAGGGCAGTAGCCCCTCCCCCAGGTGGGTGACACAGCTAGGTGTTTGTTCTGCCCTCTGAGTCTGCCTTCCCACCGTAAACAATAGGACATGGAGCAAGAAAGCACTGAGTACACCCAAGCACCTTCCAGAGAGGGGGCGTGGTCAGACCAGCTCATTTACATATTTAAAGGTACAGGCACAGAAACAGCCTGTTCTGAGCAGGGCTGAAATAGAGGGGTTTATAGACATGATCAAATACAGGATCAGAGTGGATTTAGAACAAGAGACTTCACACACGTTTTGCTCCGTTACCATGACAACAGACGTCCTGAATCTAAACAAACAGACCTGAAGTGAAGTCCAGACTAGCGGTTCTGGTCTGACACGGATCAAAGCGTGCACCAAACGTTGATGGTTATGTTACAAACTGATTCACGTTCACAGCAGAGAGGAGGAGGAGGAGGAAGAAGAACAGGATGAAGAGATGAAGGGCTGACAGAATGAGAGGATGAGGAGATCCGTCACTCAGGAGCTCAGGAGTCTCAGACGATCACATGACTGCGTTTCCCAACCCCGGTCCACCAGAACAGCATCCTCTCTGACTAAGACCTTGGATACCCAACAGAATGGCGTTTAACTATTTTACTGTCGATGAAGGTTCACGATTGGACCGACGATTGGAGAATTCTCCAGCGGCCGCTCCAAGTGTTAAATTTTGTGAAGTATATGAAAGTCTGTTTAGTTATGTTTTTGGATGCTTTTTTAAAATAAAACTTTTTGATTTTCTGTTCCCGTCTGTGGCTGTCAGACTTTGTTTCCAGGGGGAACATTTACGCTGTGAGACCAGGGCGGGGAAAGTGTGAGGTGAGGGGAGGGGAGATGGCGTTACCTTCCGCAGTACCAGAGAGGCCGTCGGCTTTGAAGTTGCTTGTGCTCTTCTTCCTGCGGTGCTTCTTGCGGTTGGCGTGCGGCGACGGCGGGGGCTCTATCTTTGGACTGGTGGTGCTGGAGATACTGGGACTGGAACACACCGAGTCTCCCAGACCAGTATCTGAAACCACAAATACCATTAAAGACAGATCAGATCCTGAAACTGGAATAAACCTGGAGACAAAGAACACAATTGATGAAGTCTGATGAGGTCTGCAGGATGGGGGGGGCGATCAAAGCACTCTCTCTCTTTCTGCCTCCACTCATCATGGCGCACGCTGACAGCTGTTACTAGCGGCGGAATAAAATAACATTCAGCTTCCATCAATATCACGGTGCGGCGGCGGCTCTGACATGGCCTCTGTGTGTGTGTGTTGGGATGAAACACATAACAAACACGTATACACACAGGCGCTGGTCGGCGGCGGCGGTGTCCCGGCGAGCGGCAGACAGCCCCCAAGGACGGCCATAACTTATTTTACAATCGTTTAGTCTCAGCTCAAGTGGAAAATGTGACAACTTATCTCTGCTGACAACACGCCATCCCCGAGAGTGCAATTAACCGCCGTGGATTAACGGCCCTCCCATCTGCACGCCGCTCTCCATCCACTTCACCCCCCCCCCCCCCCCCCCAAAGCCTCAGGACTTCCTGCTTCACCCTCCCTGCAGCCCTCCATCAGCTCTCTCCTGATGTTTGTCCCTCCTGGGCTTCCTTAACTCTGAAACTCATCAACAGTTTGGACACCAGCTGCTCCCACCGACCAATCAGAGCAGCAGCTTCGTCTGACTGTCATCTTTAAATCAGAGAAACAAAGAGGTCACCATGATGTCACCATGTTGACGTGTCTATTGTTCTTAAACTGTAACAACGTCTCAGAGTGCGCCCACTAAGACACTGAGACACTCTGGAGTTCATTTTCAGCTTTAAATTGTATCTAAACTTTCAGAGCTAGAGGTGTGAACCGAGCCTTGTGTGTGTGTGTGTGTGTGTGTGTGTGTGTGTGTGTGTGTGTGCCCCTGGGAGTCCATTTAAAAGCATTTCACAGCTTTAAACGTTATTTGAGGAGAGCTGGGGGGCACAGAGCTGACGACAGAGCTGTCAGTCAAGATTATCGTCACAGCAACACACACCCGTCCTGACAGCTGTCAGTCGTAGCATCTCAGTGTGTGTGTGTGAGTGTGTGTGTGTGTGTGTGTGTTAACTAGTCACACACGTATGCACACAAACAATTAGAGACACACACACTTAGTTTGACAAACAGTTCAGCAGAATTAGAGGCTCTGTCAGCTGGATCAATAAAGAGACAAACGATAGGCCCCACTGCGCAGCTGCACGCTGGGGCCCTGTGGGCTCCAGCTGGAGCTGCATGTGGAGACCTAGTATGTATGATTCACTTTGTGTTGAAGTTATAAATCGTTAACTTTTCCACCTTTTCATGCAGAACATCTTCCTGTAAAAGTAAAACTTTTGTCGTTTACCTGTGCTGACTCCTGAGTTGGCGATGACGGTGGCGTCCGTCCACTGGTCGGCGCTGGAGACGGAGTAGGAGCGCTGGTGCATGCCCTCCAGACCGCGGCTGTTAAAGGACACCAAGCTGACGCCGCTCGCCATCTGAGACACCGACGAGCTGCTGGTCACCGAGCCTGAGAGAGAACGCCATGTTTATTTGAATGGGTGTGTATGTGACTTCCTGTGCGTCTGCAGCCAGCCTCTGGAGGATTTTACACTTCAGCTCCGGCTTCTTTTTACTACACCAGAGGATGCTGATTCAGATTCAACACTTCATTTTTGTAACATGCTGTATCATAAAAAAACGTCCTGGTCGATGCTCAAATCAGCGTTTTCATCAGTCCGCTGAAACAGACAGTCTTTCTCTTATTTGAGACAAACGTGCTTTAAAAACTGAGCTGAAATGATGTCGTCCCTCTTTATCGTGCAGCAGATGTGTCCATGTAACACACACACACACACACACACACACACACACACACACACACACACACACACACACACACACACACACACACACACACACACACACACACACACACACACACACACACACACACACACACACACACACACACACACACACACACACACACACACACACTCATGAAAAGCAGCTTCTTACAAGCTGGCTGCTTAAATCAAACCCTTGAGTTAGAGAGAGGCTGCGTGGTCCAACAGCCGGGTGAATCACTCCCCCCCCCCTCCCTCTTTCTCTCATTACAGCTCATTTCTTGGTGCTGGCTGAGTGGAGCCAGGACTCTGATTGCATTAATATTCATGACAATAATTAGTACATGGAGTACGGCTCACTGAATATTCATGCTATTAGCTCGGGCCTCCTGGATCCTTGCGTGTGTGTGTGTGTGTTTGATTTAGCCGCCTCATAAGAGCTGCTTTTATGCCAGTGTGTGTGTGTTCTCGTTTTCCCTCCACCTTTTGTTTTACGACGTCTTCCTTCAGGTGTAAGGGAGCGTTTTGTGTGTTTCAAGGCTGAACTCCTGTTTTTTAATCTTTGAATGCTCAACCTTTATTGATTCACGGAGGACAGAACATGCCGTCGTTTATGATGAGGCATCAAGAGCGGCAATTAGAGGCACGATTAAAACAGGAATGCAGTCACGGCAGGTTAATTATTCCTCCGCAGCTTTAACTTATGTAAAGGAGCAACTTTAACCCTCAACGTCAGGACAGTTTCAGTTAAAAAGATTCTTCATTTATGACCATTTAGCACATTTTCTGATCGTCTAAAACTTCATTTATGGATGTTTTTCTGCTTTGTGCTGATTGGACGCTGCAGAGGAGAGAACGTACATTAATTACTCATCATGATTTTGAACTTTAGGAGGATACACCTGCACTTTCTGGAGATGAATATCTTCCTGTTACCTGACGCGACAGACGTTAATCAGGTGTTAAAGATCTCAAGTGTGTCTCACCTGGATTCTGTCCCAGCTGCAGGTTGCTCATGTCCTTGGTCAGCCCGTTGGTTTTGGGACTCGGCAAGGCGGAGCAGGTAGACACGGCGCGAGGCGGCCTCTTCCCGGGGACCTTCACCGTCGTCCTCAGCAGGTCGATCTCCTTCCCGTGGACGTTCTGCATGTAGTCCTGAAACATCGGAGAGTCAGAGAGTCGGTGGTTAGTGCTGCAGAGACACATCAAACTTTACATCTTTATTTAAACAATCCAAACAATGTCTGATTACTGTGAACACCTCAGAACACCTGACAACAACTGAGAACACCTGAGAACACCTGAGAACACCTGAGAACAACTGACAACAACTGACAACAACTGACAACACCTGACAACACCTGACAACACCTGACAACACATGAGAACAACTGAGAACACCTGAAAACATCTGAAAACACCTGACAACACATGAGAACAACTGAGGATACCTGAGAACACCTGAGAACAACTGAGAACACCTGAGAACAACTGAGGACATCTGAAAACACCTGAGAACACGAGAACACCTGATAACATCTGAAAACACCTGACAACAGCTGAGGACACCTGAGAACAACTGAGAACACCTGAGGACATCTGAAAACACCTGACAACACCTGAGAACAACTGAGAACACCTGAGGACATCTGAAAACACCCAAGAACACCTGACAACACCTGACAACACCTGAGAACAACTGACAACACCTGACAACACATGAGAACATCTGAGAACACATGAGAACACCTGAGAACACATGAGAACACCTGAGAACACCCGAGAACACATGAGAACACCTGAGAACACCTGAGAACACCTGACAACACCTGAGAACACCTGACAACACCTGAGAACATATGAGAACACCTGAGAACACCTGAGAACACCCGAGAACACATGAGAACACCTGAGAACACCTGAGAACACCTGAGAACACATGAGAACACCTGAGAACACCTGACAACACCTGAGAACACCTGAGAACATATGAGAACACCTGAGAACATATGAGAACAACTGAGAACAACTGAGAACACAGGTGAGTCATCCTTTACAATCGAGTGTCTTTTAAAAATGGAAATATATAAAAGGCACCTGGTGACCAATCAGAGGAGAGTCTGACGGCGTGCGATTCAGACGCTCTTCATGATGTAAACAAAGACTCTGATCGAGGATTATTCTGCAGCTAAATCCTTAAACACGAACAAAGCATCACTAATCCCTCAAAGCCGTGCTGAAGTGGCAAACCACGCCGCCTCTGATTGGCTCCAACCCTCCCGGAACACGTCGGCCCGCCGCCGGACGCCTCAGAACCGAGCGGCGGTGTGAAAAGAGGCGGATCAGAGGAGCGAATAAAAGAGGAGAACGGGTGTTAATGACGGACGAGAGGCGCTTGTTAAATCCACCCCCCCTCCCCTCCCTCGGAGCCGGGTGGAGTGTCAGCGCTGACCCGAGAGGAGCAAAGCATTGTGGGAGGTCGGCCTCCTCTTCAACATGAAGGAGACGAAGAGAAACAAAGCTGAGAGACCCGCTGGGCCGGATTACCACCAGAGAGAGTGTTTGACAGAGGACTGCTATCTCTGTGAGGACCGCGCCACATGCAGGACGTTTTATTCAACACATTCATTTTGGATTTGTTTAAAGAATCGACATCAGACCTGAGAGTGGAGGTGGGGTGGGGGGTGGGGGTGGGGGGGTTTACGACTTTCAGTTTGGTGACCACTACAATGAGTGACAGAGAAAATGTCGGCCGAACACGACCTCTGACCGTCTTAGGACCTGAAATCTGAAAACACTCGCCAAGTTCAGCGCCGTCTTGAGAGCGAGGAGCGGAGGAAACGTCCTCACTCTGCAGCTCACACACTCTAATTGGTCCTCACAGAGATGGGATTATAAGACCCCCCACACACACACACACTCTCTCTCTCTCTGTGTATCCCGCCTCCCTCTGGCAGCTCGGCTGACAAAAGGCCAATTCAAAGCCAAGTGCTCTCGACGGCGTCTTAACAAGCCACCGGAGAGCCCTCGAGCCAGGGGCCCGCTGGGTACACACACACACACACACACACACAAACACACGCGCACACAAACACACGCGCACACACACACACACACACCCCTCCGACAGATTGACCGAGGTAATTGAGTCTCCATTTGCATCGGGGAGCTTTCATCATCGTCCTGAACACCACGCCGCACAGAGACGTCCAGGACGGATGTGTGTGTGTCGCCCAAACACACCGACAGCAGGTGGTGTGTGTGTGTGTGTGTGTGTGTGTGTGTGTGAGTGTTAAAGAGAGGACGTGTAACGGTGTGTATGTAAATGTGTGCGTTGCGTTCAGGGACAGGGTAAATGGATGCGTAAACGGCGGCGTCAGAGTGAAAAATGGAACAGAAAGAGAGTGGTGAGACGTGCTGACGGCGAGGATACACGGATCCATACAGAGCGAGCACGTCCAAAAAACATGATCGATGAACGAGAAGAGGGTGGGAGATAAAAGAGAAGAAGAAGAAGACGAGGAGGATATGATAAATAAAATACAGAAACAGATGTTGTTAAAAATCATCTTTTTCTTCTTGTCTTCCTGTTTGTGACCTCGATCATGTGACGCCTCTGTGAAGCTGAAATGATCCAATCAAACATCTTAACGTGTCCACCTGGCGTTTTTAACATAACAATGTTTCATGGCGTGTGTTTTTGAGAGTAGCTACTGGACGCTTTGATTTCCCCTCCTGATCAATAAAGCATCTCTCTCTCTCTCTCTCTCTCTCTCTCTCTAAAACACAGAGACACACACACATGAAGATTTAAAGGCTGCACGTTTTTGGAGAAACTGGCGTTCATCAACAGCCGCACAGGAAGCTGCACGCCGCCTTTGGAACATTTTTAAACGTGTCAGAGATGATTTCTGCGTGACGACGAGAGGTGTCTCTCTATCTCTCTCTTTTTTTTTTTTGGCCTCGTCTTCGTCACTTTGGAGGAGACTCTTTTTTTCTCCAATTAGGTGGCATCCATTGCCTTCCACTTAATTAGCGGCATTAATGTGATTTCTTTGCACATAGTCGGGCAATTAGCGGCGCTGATTGAGTTTCATTCGATTAGCCTCCGCAAACACGCTAATTGACGCCTGAGCTGCAGATGCAACGCGCTCAGGAAAAAACCTGGCTTTTTGGTGCTGCAGGGGGTTTGTGTGTGTGTGTGTGTGTGTGTGTGTGTGTGTTTGTACTCGAGTGTGTGTGATGTGTTAAGTGATGAGTTTTAACACTAATTTACTGCATCAGCTGCTCTAATCGCTGATGGACGTGTGCAGTTTGGTGAAGTGATTCTTCAGAGGCTCCACGGGGAATCAAACCAACGACCCTCAGGCCCAACGAGTGCCTTGCTCAGAGCGACTGAACAGAGTGCATGATGGGACTTTTCAACCTCCAACATCCGTCACAGTGATGAATATTCTTATCTGAGAGATTCTTTAAGGACATGAAACCTGCTGACTGGAACTTCTGAAATGTGAAGGTGTGAAAACTCAGGGTCAAAGACGCTTTCAGACAACAGGAAGAAAAATAAAACAAGAAGTCATCCGTCTGCAGGCCGAACGCCGGAGGTTAGAAAACAGAACTAATCATATTAAAAGGCTTTATATGTGGTTTTTCCACACTTAAAATATATATATAAAATATAATATAAATCAAGTATAACCTCTGAAAATAACTCTGTGAGTCATGACTGTCTACAATGGGTGTAACACCCGAGTCCCACTGTCTGTGATGTTTTCAGAGTCCTATCTTCAGTTTGTTTACATCGCCCGGACGGCCGGCTGACTCCTCCCCTCGTGTATAAAAGTTGTTTAATTGAGGGACTAGAGAAAAGAAGAATAACATACTGTACTCACTGCTTAACTGTGTTTCTAGATCACGCTCATTTCAGGTAAATTTACATGCAGTGTGAAGATACCAGCATAATAAAGATCGCTAGCATTAGCATGCTAACACAACAATGCAGCACAAGTTGTTTTGGTTTCATGCTGGTGCTCAAGGGCGACATCTGCTGGATCAAAAAATCACATATAAAGCCTTTGGGGTTCGTATATTTAATCGATGTACCTACTTTTGTACGTTCACAATAGATAAAGTCATAAAAAAGTGTCTGTTTTCATGAACTGCTCCTCCTTGCTCCCTCTACGCTCTGAGTCCGTCAGCTACGCTCTGTTGAGCCCACACTGTTAGACCCCACGTGGGCCAAGTCTGCTCTGATTGGTCTGCCGATGCGCTCTGTCATTATTGGTTAGTTGCTCAGCACGCTTCTTGGAAATTTCAACATGAGCTGCAGGGCTTGCCACAACGAGCCAATGGGCTTAGATCAGTGATCTCACACTGACAATGACGCCGCACTGACACATTTTTATCGAGGGGGGCTAGAACCGAGCGTTACATGCAGCTAATGCTACAGCTAACAGGGGGAGGTAGGAGAAGCAGCATTTCCACGGACTTTGAATTTTTGCACATCGATGTTCCTAAACATGCACAGGACACTTGGAAAACACTAAAGAGCAGATAAAACCAGAAAAAGAAGAATATGGGACCTTTAAGGTGATGTAATACATAAACAAGATTTAAAACTTGTTTTTATCTGGCTGAGCTCTGAGCCCCGAAAACAAGAAGACGAGAGAGAGAGAGACGTTAAGCTCCATGAGAGAACGACAGAGACAAAATGTGTGTGTGTGTGTGTGTGTGTGTGTGTGTGTGCGATAATAAAGCAGCGTCAGTGCAGGATATTGTGCCAACAGGGCAGAGCGCCGGGGCAATTAGCAGAGACATTACAGCTGATATTCACATCATCAACGCCGACGTGGGCAAACAGATGACGAGTCCTAATTAATACACAAGCCATCAACACTGTCAGTGTGTGTGTGAGCGTGTGTGTGTGTGTGTGTGTGCTTGTGAGACAGACACACACACACACACACACACACACACACACAGGGGAGAGAGGAGAGGAGCAGCAGATAGATGGAGGTCAGTGCAGGCTGGCAGAGAGCTGGAGTCTAATAAGCAATCAGAGGGAGTTAGTAATGAGTGTGTGTGTGTGTGTTGTGTGTGTGTGTGTGTGTGTGTGTGTGTGTGTGTGGTGTGTGTGTGTGTGTGTGTGTGTGTGTGTGTGTGTGTGTGTGTGTGTGTGTGTGTGTGTGTGTGTGTGTGTGTGTGTGTGTGTGTGTGTGCGCGCGCGCGCGTCACTTACATGCAGGCTGGGGTGGTAGGTGAGCAGTCCGTTGTCACACAGCGTCACATACTTCTTCTTCCACTCCTTGTTGAGGGATTTTCCGCTCCTCTTCAGCAGCATGCCCTGCACAGAACAAACCACAGAAACATGTTTTTAATCACACGCTGAGCGCCAAAACCTCTGAAACGTTAACATCTGCGGCGCCGCAACAGACCAATCTGCACGCCACGGCGGACATGAAATCAGGAATGTGAGACTGTGACTTAACCTGCTCAGTGTATTTGATCTAAAATCTGATTTAATTTATGAAGTTTGGTGGATTTAAAGAAATGATTTTCTATTATCTGTAAATATTTGTGAGATAACTCTTCAGCGCACTCTTACATCACTTCCTCTTCAACAGCAGGTTTGGACTCCATGTTGTGTTTGTGTCTCGATAAAGCAGGAAGCGTTGTGCTGTTTACTAAATGTTACTTATTAATCTGAGTCAACGTCTCAGAGTCTCCACTCTTCCATCTGAGATAAATGACATCGAGGAGCTCTGCAGCGAAGATAACGAGTTTACAGACTGCACAGAACAACATCAGAAATCTGCAGCGGCGAGCGAGAAGACGAGACGATAATCAGCACTTATTTAATTGTGTGACTTCTTAACATGCCCGTTTCTCTCTCTCTCTCTCTCTCTCTCTCTCTCTCTCCTACGCACATCAGCTGCGGCTCACTGACCGTTTAGGCCGAGCGACCGCCCGCTCGCCCGCCCACACTTCATTTGAGCTGGATTCATTAGGTTAGAGAGAGAGAGAGAGCAAGAAGGTCAGAGAGAAGGCGAGAGAGAGAGAGAGAGAGAGAGAGAGAGAGGGCGAGAGAGAGAGAGAGAGAGAGAGAGAGAGAGAGAGAGAGAAAAGGCGAGATAGAGAGCGAGGGGGGGGGGATAAAACTGTCCGCTGATTAGCAATTACAGCAGCGCTGCCACGCGTGTCACTTCACTGGACCTCTACAACATTAACACTCCGACAGAGGATATTAATAGAGTCCAGCCGTGAAGGGAGCGAGAGGGGGGGGGGGGGGGGGGAGGCACCACAGAAAAAGAACGGGGATGGAGGACTGATGGACAGAAGCCTGCACTCCCTCGCCCTGACCGCTCAGCTCTCATTAAGGCGGGCGGCGGTGGTGGGATGGCGCGGCAGGCCCGGGGTCACCCTCGCCGACACTGACGGCGTGTTGGGTGTAATCAGCAGCGACATCACGCCAGGAAGGAACGCTTCAGTGTGACACAGAGGGAGGGGCCAATGAGACTAATGTGTCCGTACTCCTAAAGAGCGGCCAAAGTGAGACGAGTGACGGCAAATCATCCCGACAGGAACACGACAGAGAGGGGGGGGGGGGGGGAGAGAGAGAGAGAGAGAGAGGGGAGAGAAAGAGAGGGAGGAGAGAGAGGGCGAGAGAGAGGGCGAGGGAGAGAGAGAGAGTAGGATGAGCTAGGATCAGAACCAGGTCCCAGTCTGATGACCTGTTCATGTGATCTTCAGGTCCCTGATGTTCTTTCCTGTGATTCCTCTAATTTCAGCTCCCGTCAGGAAGCGTGTGTGTGTGTGTGTGTGTGTGTTGCTGCAACAACAACAGGGGTTCCCCACGGTGCGCTAAACGCGTCCTGACGAGCTTCCTGCTGCTGTGAAGTGAAAGCTGCCGGCAGCCGTGCAGCTGTCAGGCCAGCTGATCATCCATTACTGCCTGTTAGTGAGCGAGCGAGCGAGCGAGCAAGAGAGAGAGAGAGTCTGCAGCTCAGACTCGTTTGAATCAATAAGAAGATTTCGCAGCAAGGAAAACCTCTGATTGGATGAATCATTTTATCAGGATCGGATAGACGACATAAACACATGAAATAAAGGAAACATGTTTTTAGAGGTTTGTGCTTCAATATTCAGATTTTTGCTTTCATAGTTATTTTGATATATTTAGGAAACTGTGATACAACATGAGGAGAAGAAAGACAGAAAGAGGGAACAGGAAGTGTGTGAGTGAGAAGGTCAGTGTGATGTTTGAATGATGTGGATCTTCACTGCTTTGAACTAAACTGAGGAGGGGAGGGGGGGTGTAATATTTCTCCCTCCTCTCTGTCCAAACCTGGTATTTGGGGACGGGGACGTCAGCAAATTAATTTAGGCCATCCATCCTGAGGACGACAAGCGATCAGTTTGCTGGAGGGGGGAGGCTAATTGAACGCCGCGTCGAAGCCCTCCTGATGGGTAATATCTTTCATTATTCACCTCCCCGGGCGCGCTGACACACACACGTCGCCTCTTATTTTACCTTCAGGAGGGGGGGGGCATGACAGCTCACAAGGTCTCCACATGGGAAAATAGATGTGTGCAGATAAATACATCCTCAGATACACTCTCTCCTCGCCGCGCCCGGGCACTTCTCCGCCCCGTGAAGTATTGTGGAGGTAGTGCTCAGGAAAAGGTCGCTAGCTCGGGGGGGCGAGGAGATGAAGTCATTTGTTAGGCATCCCAAAACGACCAAGGGCATGGCGAGGATTATTACATATGCGGCGTCTTTACAGAATTAAACAACGAGGAAGAGGCCGACTTTAGACTCACTGCGAGACGGTTATAGACGAGCGTCTGACTGTTGGGAAAAGTCAACACAAAGCAACACACTTTAGTTTGTCTACCTTCACAATAAAAGCACCATGCTTTAGTTTGTCCACCTTCACAATAAAAGCACCATGCTTTAGTTTGTCCACCTTCACAATAAAAGCGCCACGCTTTAGTTTGTCCACCTTCAAAATAAAAGCACCACGCTTTAGTGTGTCCACCTTCAAAATAAAAGCACCAGGCTTTAGTTTGTCTACCTTCTAAATAAAAGCACCACACTACAGTTTGTCCACCTTCAAAATAAAAGTTCCACACTACAGTTTGTCCACCTTCAAAATAAAAGCACCACACTTTAGCTTGTCCACTTCCAAAGTAAAAGCACCACACTTTAGTTTGTCCGACTTCACAATAAAAGCACCACACTTTAGTTTGTCTACCTTCACAATAAAAGCACCACACTTTAGTTTGTCCACCTTCAAAATAAAAGTACCACACTACAGTTTGTCCACCTTCAAAATAAAAGCACCACACTTTAGCTTGTCCACTTCCAAAATAAAAGCACCACACTTTAGTTTGTCCACCTTCACAATAAAAGCACCACACTTTAGTTCGTCCTCCTTAAAAATAAAAGCACTAGATGTCATATTCTTTGAAAGGGGGGAGTAGATAATTCAATATTTAACGGATGCAGCGTGGACAGCGAGCGTGCGATGCTCTGTGATATATAACGCTTGCGCGCTGTTAGGACATAAGACAAAGAAGTGGTCGCAGGTGAGGGATCTCTCTTCTTTCATACTGAGACACTTCCTCGCCCTGGAAGTCCTCAAGAAAAGGTCGCCAGCTCTGGGGGGGCGAGGGATGAAGTCATTTGTTCTGCATCTGAAACGTCTGGGGGCATCTCAGAGCATCAGAAATGTTTGATTGTGTTTAAAGATGGAGAGAGGCTGATGATGCAGAGCTCATATTAAAGAAGGGAAGCAGGGGAAACATGTTGGAGTATTTTAGTGAACCTTGAGATATAAAGATCCCAAAAACACAAAAAGCCCCCTCAGGGTTCTCGGTCTCCTCTCATACTGAGACACTTCTTCTCCTCGGTGAAGTATTGTAGAGTAGTGCTTAAGAAAAGGTCGCTGGCTGGAGGGGAGCTAAAAGATGAAGTCATTCGTTAGACGACGCATCCGGATATGTTCACAGGCTCGTACCTGAGGGTCTCTGATTAAAGACCGCCGCAGTCACACGGCGGACATGTTAAGACGAGGAAAATGTTTGATGGAACTGCGGACGATGTCAGGAAGACAAACCCTGCTCTCTTTTTCATTTGATGGTTAATTCCTTCAAAAAGAGCAAAAAGAAAGCAGGAAGTTAAAGACCTTCCTTTGTGTGAAGCAGGCTGAGATAAGGGAGCTGTATTCCCTCCTGGACTGTCTATTGATACAAACTAATCTACTCTCTAATCACTCAATCACCCCCTATTTTCCCTGAACAATGGACTCTCCCGGGGCCTGCTGAAAGGCCTGACAGCGGATCTTAGAGGAGATAGGAGGGAGGGTCTATCTGTGGAGGAGAAGGGGATGATCCCGATGGCTCTGCAGCACCTTTTGTTCTTCTTCATCCCCAGAGAGCAGGAGGCTAAATTAGAGGTGTCACCCCCGAGACGGCAGAGAGGGAGGGGGTGACGGCGTGTGGGAGGGAAGCCGGACGCTCCCCCGTCTATCTGAGCGGTGATCGCGGATCATCCATCATCCCCTCAGACAGAGCAGGGTGGGTTTGTTTTCAGCCTGAGATCAGAGGCGGGGATCACACAAACAAACGTCCCATTTTAAAACTTCTCTCCACCTAAAGATAGAAAACAACATGCCGGCCTCATCAGGATCCGTACAGAGCTGGATCACGCTGCAGCAGGCCGCATCTTCTCTAACATGCACAGTCTGCAGGAGGTCATTAAGGTCATCGTGCCCGATGGAGGAACGCACCGCCTCACGTGACCTCACATAAACAACGCAGCCGGTGGAGGACTAAACATAAAAAGGTCTTTGGAGAAGTTGACAGCATGGATCATCTGTTCTTCAGTGAGAGCTGGAGGTCAGACTGTAACTGTCAGATACATCTCAGGTGTCCAGCTCACCTGTGCAGGTTTCATCCCGCCGCCGGACGCCACTCCTGTCCTCTCTCGTCTCTCGTGGTTATTTAAGTCACACACGACTTCCTCCAGACCCTCCAGAAGATTTTAAATCCTAAATATCAAACATGTTTGAAATCAATCGGAGCGTCCCCGATGATCTCAGAGCAGATCGGGCGGTCTTGATTATTATTATTTTTTTTTTTAAAGCACACTTCCTACTTCCTGCTTCCTTGTTCATAAATTGCAGGAGCGTCCATGTTGCCGTGACGACACGCTCAGGGTGGGCAGCCCACATGGCGCTGTCGTGAGTTCCCGTGATGTTTCACAAATCAGAGCGACTGTTTTAATTTCAAAGATTGATGAGAGACGATTCTCCATCCTGCAGAGGAGACGTTCTTCAGGTGATCATTTGAAATGATGGCGTGCACTTTTTGTTCTCTCCTCATAAACTTCACTCTGATTTAAAAAGTAAAAAAATAAATCCTGCTTATGAATCTAAAAACTTCCATTCAGAGTTTTTAATTTGGAAAATCATCTCTTGCTATTAAAAGCACAAAGTCAGAGGATTGTAGAGCTCTCTCTCTCTCTCTCTCTCTCTGCGTCTGACACTCGCCCTGATGACATCACTCACAGACGCAGACTTGTGTTTGTCTCGCAGTTTCACAGCTGAGAAACAGACACGAGAGACGACTGACATGAAAACACACACAGAGCATCCGCCTGCACGACAAGGTCGGCGTTGATGAGGCAAGGACGGCGAAGGGCAGGCCCGGGGGAGCAGGACGCCGAGCAGATCAAATAAAACACCACAGAAGAAGAGGGGGGCTGATTTATCTGATAAGAGTTCTGGGTAATTAATTAGAAACTCAATTATCCAAACCTTACTTCAGCAGTCTCAAGTCATTAGCGGATAAAAAGCCTCGCCCCTCGCTCGCCCCTGACCGCCAGAGAGAGACAGGAAGTGGAGGAGACACGACCCGCAGGTCACCGCCGGTCGCTTCTGTCCGATCAGACGAGTGTGCGCAAACAAACAAACAAACAAACACACACACGGCGTGAAACAACAAAGCGAGCTCAGGGACACTTCAGCTCGCTCTGAGGCGCTCCACGGAGACGCCGTAATGAGCAGCGTCTAAAAATGCTCTTTGATTGACGCCTGTGTTCCTTCTTTTAATTATTTCTCAAACTAAAGAGGAGAGACATCCCCCCCCCCCCCCCCCCTCTCTGAAAATCTCATTTCCAGGGGTTAGCGTGCATGACAAAAATGTCATCATGGCCAAAATGGCTCCGAGCAGTGACAACCTTTCCCAGGGAAATGATATTTTTCCAATCCGGCGGAAGGCGGATCGTGTCACCCTCGTTAAAGCCTTGATAGCAGGTCTTTAATATTCACCGTCTTAATTAGGGCCGCAGTTAATTTCATTAAATTCTTTGGCTGCTAAATGAAGCAGATTATGAGACATCTTTTATTGCGGAGCGTGAAATTACAGCCTGCCCGCTGCCAATGGCGGGGCGAAACTAATGA